ATTTTACAATTTTTATTACTTATTTAAATCTTACCACAACATATTAATCTTTATATAAATATAAAACAAAAATTAATCATTTACTTATTCTTCACCTCACTACAAAAAATGAATATTTGATTCAGTAAAGATTTCTTTGCGCAGACAATAGAGAATTGTGGACTCATACTTTTTCTTTTTTTTTTAAAATATACTAAGCTTCTCAAGGTCAACTAGTCAATTTATATAGTTATGTTCAATTGAAACTATTTTATTTGGTTGATAACAAAACCAAATTAAAAATTGTAACATTTTTAATTCAAGATATTATAATCGAAATTTGAATAAAAAAATTGTTTTTTTTACGTAGTTAACTGCTCTAAACATCTTATTTATTGATACTTATGTAAAAGTAAATCGAAAAATGTAGATATTTATAGATATCTTATATTGATTGTTAAAAAGCTATAAAATTTAGATATAGATAAAGACAAATGTTTGTAAGGAAAAAAGATCGAAAAATTTATTTCCAAAGTGGCAATAAGGTTATCAATGATCGCTTCCAATATTACAGTAAAAAGTGTAAAGTTTTTATTTTCAAGTGATTCGTATGAGTCTGATTATGTTCATAAAAAATACATTTTAGACATTTATCTATATTCGATAAAAATAATGTCCAGACGAAAAACTTGCAGATCTCGATATTTATATGAACAATTGTTTTCATGGAAGTTTTTTGCAGAATTGTGTGTGCTTGGAATTTCATAATACATACCATGATTTACTATAATTGAATAAAACATTTTCTTGGGAAACATAAGATCATTAAAATTATCAAGTAAAATATAGGATGATATAGATCATTTACTAAACTTTTCTTGCTCTAATAGCATTTCAAAATCAAAAAAAAAGGAAATCGAATTTTGCACGAATATGAACATGAAATCGAAGTGAGCTTCCATGTATAATAATTGGTACAATAAATTCTTCATCAGATAATTCAATTATTCGTATGTCAATACGAATTGTGAAAAATTGATGCTTTGGAAAAACTTCAAATAAAACATGCTTGTTTGTTTCTATAAGACCAATAACAAAAGCAATAATTTCAACAATTGAATCCATCCTATTAGATGTAAAACGTAGTTAAACTTTTAGGATATTTAATTTTGAAAAAGTTTATAATAATATATATTCATCTTATCCTCCGAATGTATATGAACTATTATTAAGTTAAATAAAATAAGGATTTCTATTTATTTCGATTAATTCAGATTCAATATTTTCACATCGCCCAGCAGGACGATAATTATAATAAATAATTGCACATTTCTTCACTCAAAAAAGAACTTCGACAACAAGACCAATACGAAAGAAAATCCGAAAAGAAATGATCAAATATACTTAAACGTTTTTCAAACCAATTATTTGCATAAGGTGATATATCATCAAGTATTCCAGCACTTTCTTTTCCATGTTCAATAAATTTTCCTTGTTCATCATAACAACATTGAGCATCCGTCCAAGTTCTATTCGATTTTTTTCGATAACAACTTCTACCCTTCTTATGATAATAATATGTTTCTTCAATAGATTTATGACCATCACATCATTCATCAATTCGAACACCCATAAATTCTTCAAACCATGATTCTATCGGTACTTGACAAGGACAAAAAAGAATTTGTTCGATATATTGAGTTGAATCATTCTGTAAGAGTAACCAAATTGGACAATATGTAGCATGTAATGATATTGCAATTGTAAAAATCTTAGCATCTAAAAATAGAGACGAATGAAACCATTTACGAACGTTTTTCTCATTTCAAATGAAATTTGTAATTTATGAACAAAATTATTCGGATTAGTATTTTCAATAGTTGATAAATTAAGATAGTCTAAATTACGGTCGATTGTTTTTTTGAATTTGATTATCAAATCATAATTGTACTGCATAATTATATATAATATTATGGAAAAGATATTTATGTGTAATTTTATTCGATTGAAATTGAAGAATTAATTCATTATTATTTGAATAAATTATTTGATGATTAAAATTATCGAAATTACTTTATATATAAGAAAGATATTCAGTAGAATCAATAAGAATTTTATCTTCATGATAATATAGTTTAATACTTATTCCCTTTTCTGAAAGAAAGGGTCTTAAATTCGAAAAATGTTGCTATGTTTGTCTGTCCAAGCCAATCAGAAACGAGCTTTTCTATTTTTAGATTTTTGGTCATTCTGATGAAACTTTTCTATAGGTTATAGGGGGCAAGAAATCCGAATCTGAGGTCGGATTTTTGATCTGAGCTTTTATTGGGCGGTTTTTCGACCAATCAGAAACGAGCTTTTTTATTCATCGGGTTTTCGACCAATCTGATGAAACTTTGCAATAGGTTTTCGGGGTCCAGGAGTTCGAATCTGAGATCGGATTTTTGATCCGACCTTTCATTGGTCGAGAAATGTGCCAATCAGAAACGAGTTTTTTATTCATCGGGTTTTCGACCAATCTGATTGAACTTTGCAATAGGTTTTCAGGGTACAGGAGTCCGAATCCGAGATCGGATTCTTTATCTAACCTTTCATTGGTCAAGAAACGGCCAATCAGAAACGAGTTTTTTATTTATTGGGCTCTCGAGCAATCTGATGGAACTTTGCAATAGATTTTCGGGGTCCAGGGTCCGAATCCGAGATTGGATTTTTGATCCGACCTTTCATTGGTCGAGAAATGGCCAATCAGAAACGAGCTTTTTCTGTTGTTAACATGATGTGTTGAAAAATAAAGACACCTAATGGAACTATCAAGATGATTCAGTGGTAGAAAAATTCATAATCAAAGATTAATTATCAAAAGACACGATTTTATTACCGAAGGAAGAACAATTCATAAAGTTACAACGTCTGCCATTAAATGAGACAAATGATTGTTTAAGTAAAACATTTCGAAACATTATTCAATTATTGAATCACCTCTTCAATTCTTTCTTACAAGACAAATGTGGTTATTTTCAATAAAAAATATCTCAGAATCTTCTCTTTTTTTCTTTCAGAAAAGGGTCAGCGAATCCGTAGGATGAGCGCTACCTTGTTTTATTATTATTCTTCAAAATAGCCATAAGACAAACAATATAGAAAATATCAAGTATTTGATTATCAATATAAATTTCATAAGTAGATTTATTAAAACAAATATCATACAATTGAAATTTATATCCACAATAAATTGAACCTCGAAATGAAGAAATTTGTAAACCAGTAGATGTTATACATTGTACATCACTAAAGTTATCTTATGTATGAAATAGAAATTGACCAGATATATAAATATTTCAATTATTAACAATAGTCATTACGTCAGGCAAAAAAAATTAATTTTTCAGTTTATATTAGTTTATTTTATCATTGGTATTAAATTTAATTTATGAATAAATATCTAATAAACCCTCTAACCATTGTAATTGATGATAGATAAATAAAAAATAAATGAATGAAATTCATCTCTAGTTAATATTGCTTGATAAGTATGATGACTTGTAGAATTTTTATTCGGAAGTATTTCATTACCAAGTGACAACAAATGTCCAAAATATTTGTTGAATAGTGAATTTAGAAAAACTATTATATGCAATTTTACTTATTCCCAGAAGAGTATTAATTTCATTCTTAAATAAAATTTTATTAATTGAATTATTTATATCAATCCAATAAGATTCAATAGAAATAAAATCTTGAAGAGAAAATCGATCTAATATTTTAAGTAATGATAAATAATTATTATTTTCTAATACAATTAAATCATGATTAGAAATATGAACTTAATCATTAGTGGTGTAACGAAGGTAGGGCTAGGGGGGGGGGGGGGGCGCGGCCCTCCCCCCCGACTTTTCAGCCCTACCACCGGGGGTAGCATGAT